TCTCTCTCTCTCTCTCTCTCTCTCTCTCTCTCTCTCTCTCTCTCTCTCTCCCTCTGCTTCATTCTTTCTTTCTGTTTCTTCTTTCCTTGTCATACTTCCTTACGGTCGTTAAGCTACGTAATTTAGTTCCACAACTCGAGCTAATGGAAATTTCTTTCTTCTTTTGTTTCAGGTGAGTCGACTCTTACTTATCCACCTCTTTTGCTACTCTTTAAACTCAAGGAGAAACTCTTGTAAGTAGTATACTAGCATAGTAGTTGAATTTTTTGTTGTTGTCCGACTAGTTTCTAATCCCAAAAAAGGGAAAGAAAAGAAGATGAAAATCGAAGAAAAGAAGCGATAAAGTTTAATCAGACTACGGGAGTACTTATATTTACGGATTTATTTTGTAGTTCATCGATGAATCACGGGCCGTCTTTTCGATCTTTCTTATCGTAGTAGGGTTTCTCATTGAAAAGAATTTCTTTCAATAAGGAATAGAAAAGATCGTTGAATTCAGATATTTCTCGTATACGTTAGTATGAATCCTAGAAAACTAACGGGTACCGTGTCCTTTCTTTTTTTATTTATCGTTTTTGAATATAGAATTTTTATAATATAACGTTGGCGATAGATCTAATCGAAAAATTTCATTTATAAAAATTTTCATTTTCAAATATACTATATTATACTGTTTAAAACGAAAAATACCTATGTTACGTCAACCTTGACAAAGGATAGTTTTAAATATATATATATATATATAGTTTTGCTTGGCGAAATATATTTTCGTTTGCTTATTTCTTAACGTCCAGTTTGCTAAAATTAATGTTAATTTATTCTATGGGGGAGAGGGATTCACTGATAAGCTCTACTTTGATAAGACCAACTTGGATGCTGACGTTACATATATTTTTCTATGTAGGTATATTTTTATACTATATGTTCTTAATGTTTCTATATCAATATAAAATAGTTATTATACAAGAGTTATAAGTTATTCGTATCCGCTCCTATTGTAAATTTGAAATAATTAATATTTATTTGTAATGCAAACTTTTTAAAATTCTAAAAAATTATTTTTGATATAATTAAACTATCAAATTGATATTAATTTTATTGCAGATATATTTTTTATTCTTAAAGAGAAATATTATTTTTCATAAATTGTAATAAAATTGATCTAACAAGGAATATTCTTATCTGCACAAGTTATACAAAAAGAATATAATTATTATTTTTACAAGTAGAGTACTCGGCTGTATTTTATAATATTTTTTAAATGATGGGGCATATCTTGTGAGACCTATTTTTTTGTTAGATATATCAAATTTTACTTCTCTTATAACACACAAAATGCTCTTTTGCGATAAAACTTATATCAATTTACAAGTTTAATAATTCTAAAAAAATATGTTTCTTCGTATAAAAATTTAAAAATATTGCATTACAAGCTGATATCGATTGTTTAAAATTGACAATAGTGTTAGAAAAGTTCTTGTGATTAATTTTATATAAAAAGTTATATAAAAAAAAAGAAAAAAAAATGAGAAAATATTTATGTTACGACACACAGCTATTCGAAATGTTTCAACAACGATATAACACATATGAGAAATAACTTTTCTCGCATATTCTATTCGAAAGTTGTTACGACGAAATTTCGACGAAATAAAAATAAATTCGCAATTCGGCGGAGATATTTGTATAATTAATGATCATGGTACGGTTAATTTCTATCGGTGTAACATCGCTAACTGTAATTAAAAAAATTGTGTACGAGTTCTTTGAAGCGTACAGTTTCATCGACAACACGACTCACGACACACTGGGCATTTTGCGTGTGAACGTGTGTGTATTTATACAGGTGTCGTTATAGTACATTCCATTGGGTCGTATCGCAGCTAACTAAAAAATAGTTGAAATTATTTTGCAATATCCATGGAATGATAAATCGGTTGAAGTTGAGAATTTAACTTTTTCGTTTGAACTGGAACCGATAACGAAGCGATTTCTAATTCTTCTCTCTCTCTCTCTCTCTTTCTTTCTTTCTTTCTTTCTTTTTCTCGCTTTGATAAAAATAAATGAATTATTAATGATTGATAATTAATTAATGAAATTAATTACAATAATTCGTACATATTTTTGTATTTTATTTCATATTAAGTAATTCGTTAATCAACCGTAAATAAAAATTCTTACGCATCTGTACTAACATCGTTACGATTTTTACGAGTATTATGTTTGTTTTTATAAAAACAAAATCAAAATTAATCGAGCGTAATGCTTCAGAATGCACTTAGCGTTCGGTGAACGCATCTATACGAACGTGAGGCCTCCTCCTTGAGGTAAAGAATTTCTTTTCAGTTCGTTTTATTAAATCTTTATTTATAGTCCGTCGTAAACAAGTTTCTGCATTTTTTTAAATTTTTTTATTCTCTCTCTCTCTCTCTCTCTCTCTATCTCTATCTCTATCTATCTCCCACTTATTATCTTCTTCCACCTCGCGCGAGTATATTTTCTTATACTCTTCCTTCAGAGATAAAATCCTTTCTGAACTCTTTGCAACTAGAAGAAGATCACATTCCTGAGATATAACTGACGTGCGAGAACTATGACACGAAAGCATATATTTTGTCTTTGTTAGTAGACTTAGTAGATAAGATAAATCATTTCTATGGATTTTTATTTTGAATGGTACAAACTTGTTTAAAATATTTTTTTTTTAGATTTTTTATATCGTTTTGTGAATAAAATTCGTGAGAAAAGTTATATAACTTGCGATTAATAATAACAATAATATTACTACGAAGTTGTTTTTTTTTACGTTAAAGATTTTATTCGTTGTTTTTTTTTTTCTCTTTTTCCCTCTTTTTTTTTTTTTTTCTTTTCTTTTCGCTTCTTCTTCCAAAGGCCAACGTGAACCGGATTGAATCGAAAAGAACAACGTAAAAGGAAAAATAAAGGGAAGTTGGAGTTAAAATAAAATGTGATCAACGACCATAATGAAAAAAGGAGTGTCAGTTTCAGAGAAAATGCTTCGTGTATCACAAAAATAGGAAAATCGCGATTGGAGTTGATATAAAAGAGAGAGAGAGAGAGAGAGAGAGAGAGAGAGAGAGAGAGAAAGTGAGATAGTGAGACGAAATGAAAAAGGTGCACACGTTGCTTCCGATTTGCTTGAAAAATGGACAGTTCGTGAAGCAAACGAGGATAATTCGTTTCGTTTTTCTACGTTCCCAGGCACACGACATTAAAAGCGCTTATCGATCGAACGTATATACATACCTGGCCGAACCAACAATTTACATAGTTTTCGCGATGAAGCGAAACGAACTAACCTATCCACCGAAATATCAAAATCGTGTATCTCTGTTTCTCTTTTTTTTTTTTGTTTGCATGCATTGAATATTTAACATTATTATTTTGTTGTTGTTACTGTCCTCTTCTCTTTTTTAAGTGCATTTTCTTTTTAACGAGGGTTAAAAAACTAAAATAACAAATTGATACAAGAAAGTTTCTTTCTTTTTTATCTGGAACCACTATATTTAAAGATGTCTCTCGGTGGAGCTTTCGAAAAGTTTTCGAATTTACGTACAAAGAAATTTTCTTACTATTTTTCTTCCTTTCTTTTTTCGCTGAAAAGTTGTAGAATGTACGAATTTTTTTTTTTCTAGACAATGAGATATTTCTTTGACCGGGAATGTTCTTTCTTGTTTTTTTTTTTGTTTTTATTTATTTTTCTAGTTCGCTCAGTTTTCTCGTCGACGATATTTCTAATCCGCGTTTGGACATTTAACCGTTGTAAAATTTTCGAGAATTCGTTATATAGAATAATTTTTTTGTCTAAAAAAAAGACAATAGAATGTATTCGAATAGATAAAAAATAATGAAAGTTTATTGGAAGAACGAGTTATATGAAACAACGATGTCGAAAAGATTGATCTTTAAACATTCCAGTTTTTAAAAGGTGGAATTATACTACTGATGAGTAAAGATCTTCGTTTAAACCAGTCGAAAAATCTAAAAATGTACGAAGATGAATTTAATTTAAAAAAGAGTTGTATTTAATAATAATTTTAGTCGGCTTATATGAAAAGCTTATTACAAATATAAAAGTATAATACAACAAATAACTGTATCATCATTTTCATCGAGTCCACGTACATGCATTAACACACGCGTATATTATTTGTTTGTATTAACTTCATCTATTTGATTATAATTTTTTCTTTCTATATCGAAACAATCATTCTTTATTAATCGTTAAATTAAAAATTAGGAATGTACCTATTGAATCATATGCATATTCGACGTATTTCGTTGATTAATAAAACGATGTAACTGGTTGGTATGTAATGCGTTTGGAAAGGGAATAGTACTAGCGAAATGAGAGAATAGGAAACAGCAAGGAAGAATAGTGTGCGAGAGAGTAAGAGAAATAGGGTAAGAGAGTAAGGGAGAGATAGAGTTCTCTGGTCCTAAGGGATCGATACGAAGCGGGTGCCTGCCGCTGTTGGTGGCTGCACAGGACTGCACTTTCGACCAATGAGCGACACCCTTCCTCCGATCACGAATCCGGCCAAATTTAACGGCGAGTACGCAAAATCGAACATTTCTTTTCGATTATCCACAACTTGAGAAAATGGATTGCAGTTATACGATGAATTTCAAAGTTGTAGAAGAAAAGAAAAAGAAAAAGAAAAGAAGAAAAAAGAAATGATATAAGAAATTTTCAACTTTTGAAAAATGATATTTAAAGTTTTGGGATTCGAGTGAGTATTATGAAGAGAAATCAAGTTAACGGAAAAAGAATTTTATAAGATTAAAGTTTTTTGAGAAATCGAAGAAGAAGAAGAAGAAGAAGAAGAAGAAGAAGAAAATGAAGAAGAAGAAGTATACTTTTACGAAAACGATGACGAGAAAGAATACACAATTCAATGCTCGTACATGTAATAGGAAAAAATAAACGTTTCTTTGTGTGGGAGAGGCGCCTAATTGTAAAGATGACCTCGAGAATCCGTATGCATTCCGCGTATTCTAGTTAGAAAAAGAAGTCGCGTAACAGACACTTGAATATGTGTGTGCGTGTGTTGTATAGGCCTGTAAATATATGGTTGAACGTCTAAGTCTTCTTTATATGTGTGAACTACTATTGACGCGAAGAAAAAGCCAAGTTGCATTTGCAATTTTTCTATCAGAAGGTTAACCAATTGTTGTTCGTGTTGAATCGTTATCGTTATATTTTTTAGTAGATGATAACGTTTGCTATTAAATACGAACACGTGCGGCGTCGTTTTGAAACGATTATTGTTGTCCGTTTGTATGTGCGTGGATTTGTCTGTCTCATTCTCTCTCTCTCTTTTTCTTTCTCTGTTTGGTCCGTGTGCACGTGTTGTATTTGTGTATGCATGTGATGGTCTATCATCATGCTCGTTCACGCACGTGTCGATCATTTTCTTCCCCCTTCTTCTTATTTTTGCGATCGAGAAAGTGTGCAATGCATTTTAATGTTCTAAGGTGTCGCCATCTGATATCGATCATCGATCGCTTACTATCGTTTCTCGGTATACGTATTTACGAGCAATCGTCAATTATAATCCCGCGTGTGTGTTATTATTTGTAAGGTAATAAAAAAAAA